ACTCTTTTTATGCCAGTGTGACTTGCAGATTGACCAGGGCATGGCTTGAGGGGACAGATGGCCACTCAGTGAAGCCCTCGGTCAGGAGATAGATACTATGGCCCTGCACCCACCCGTGAAGTCCCCTCACACTGTTGATGCTTAGCCAGTTGGGTGAGGTGATGCTGGAAGTGAGAAGGCAGCGGACAGGAAGCTACCCCGTATCTCCGTTCCGATTCCTGCCCGTGACTTCCTGTGTTAGAGCCCTGGACCTGTGGGTAACAGCTTGGCTGCAGCGGCCCCTCCTCTGTCTGTGGCTGTGGTTTGAGTATTACTATTCTGAGTAATAATGTTCCTTTTTCTTTTCTAACCAACATCCAGGACTGTCTCCCTGGGGGTGGGAGGAGGAAGAATGCTGGGGAACGCTGGCCCCTGTGGCATGTCTGAGCATTATTTCCTCCCAATGTAGCCCTTGCTGTTCGACTTGCCCATGTGGTGTCTGAGAAGGCGGACCTGAGAAACGTGCCCTTTCTAGAGCGCAGGGTGAACTTGAGCTCCCATGCTCTTGCAGCCCCCTCCAGGAAGAATGCGGAGAAAGCATGATGACATAGGTCTTCGTGTGACCAAGTGGCCATGTGGCAGCCCGTTGGGACCAGAGCTCAGTGGAGCAAAGCTGCCTGTGTTGCAATAAAGGGTCGGCACTGACTCCGCCTTGCCTTCGGAGGTTCGCATTGTAGTCAAATGCAGGGCTTGTGGACTTGTGAGACTAAATTGACAGAAAAGTGGACAATTGAGATTTTGTTGGCAGCAGTTTTCAGCAAGTGGAGACAGATTGGAGAGTAATACAGTGTCTGAGAAAATGAATCTTCAGACAGGAGGCGAAACCTGCTGCTCTGGAAATGTGAAGCTCATCCGTTGTCTCGAGCAACAATATGGGCAGATCGCAGTTGGCTCTGGGGTTGTGGGGCACTGCCAAGGTAGCCCCTTCCTGCTCTTTTTGGGTCTGGCTCTGGGCAGCTGCGGTGTACTGGTGACACCACGGCATCCGGGACCCCGCTGGCCCCTGAGTGTCTCGGAGTGGCTGTGGACAAACTGTTTTGGCTTTTCTGAGCTCTTTTTCTTTTTGTCTGGGTTACTTACTTGAAACCGGAGTCATGTTGGCTTGGCCAGGTGCCAGTTCCCACCTCCCCGTGAAGGGGCCCGCCCTCTGCTGCCAGGCGGCGGGGGGCGGGGCTCGGGCTCCTGTGGAGGGCCTCACTTTTCAGGTCTGCTGACGGGGCTGCTCGTTCAGCCGGGAGCACCTTCAGGCTCTGGCCAGGACGTAAAAGTACACCTGATAATGAGCATGAATTCCAAAATCCACTTATTTGAAATTGCACAAGTAACATATGAATATGTGCTTGTGAGCGTGTTGACAGATATGGTTATTGCCCCTTCACGTGCCATACTGTTCTATGACTTTCAGTGAATTTGCCAGCTTACCTGCCTACATAGGTGGTTTTCTTTTCATTTTTTCTTTAATGTCGTCGACCAGAAATGAGCCACAGAGACCAACTCTCCACGGCAAAGCGTATATTTGGGAATAGCGAGGGATTCTAGGACATGTGTGCTGCCTCAGACCATAGGCGCATCTGTGGGGTGGGGTGGGGCAAAGGCGGAGAGTTCAAAGACAAAAAGAGATGTCCTTGGAAGCTGTCTTGGGACAAAGACCATTGCTTCTGGGGGCTGGTGGCAGGAGGTGGTGTCAGCTCATTAGGAGGCAGCTGTCCTCAGGCCAGGGTCCTGGGCAGGCACCCTGTCTGGAGCCCTGTGGGTTGGAGACATTTCCTGCAGGGTTCCATCACAGGCCCATGTGGAGGAGAGCCCCACCTTCACAGCCTCTGGGTTCCATGTTGTTAGGCTTTGCCAGAAGTGACTCTATTCTGATAATATATTTATTCAATCTGTGGTAACTTCCACAGCGCAGATGGGGTGACCCAGGCAGTTTGTTTACTTGCTCTGGCCACCTTTGTCACTGACTTTGTCTGCCTTCCAGGTCAGCATATGGCCGACCTCCTGGCTTCCAGTTGCTTCCATGCTCTGTGTGGGGTGTGCTGGGTTTTCTTCAGGTACTTCTGTTTCCAGGAGTACCCAATTTGCTTTTGCTGTTTGGCTATTTGCAGCTGTGCTGCTATGGATGACCTTGTACATGTCTTCTCACATGCGTGGGCATGGTGCCCACATCCCGAGCACACACGCATGCGGCCTAGTTCATTTTGCTGACCCACACGGTTCTAGGTCCAGTCATGTTCTGTGGTGGAAGTTGGGCTTCCCTGTCAGACTCCGGTCGTGGCCTTTGGGAGGGATGAGGGACCCACACTCACTGGGAAACTTGGGGGAGGTCGAATGAGTGCTCCCGGAGGCGCACTCATTTTCATTAACATGAGAAGATGTGAAGCCCAGTCGTTTTGTGGTTTGGTTGCATTTTCCCTTGGTCTGTGCTTTGCTGGGACATGTGTTTGGAGCCCTCTTGGCCAGGGCTCTTCAGTGGGTGTCTTTTAAAATGGCTGCCAAAGACTTGTTTTGGCCTGTGTTACTCTCTTGGAAGAAAAAAATCACCTGAGTCATGATATAAAGAATTACCCGAGAAAACATACTGCACAGTGCCCACATCTGAGACTCCACAGTGCTGTGGAAGTGTTGGCGTGCTTCAGGGCTCGACTTTCCTTTCAGACTTTACTCCCCCGAGGATGCACAGTGGGTCTGCTGTGAAGGGCTGGCTTTCTCTTACTGAAGATAATGGAACCATTTACTGCAATTTTTCCTCATTATCAAAATCAGCCCATGGTGTTCGGAGTCCCCATTTAGGTGGAACCGAGGAGAACTCCACTTGCTGCTCCCTGTTTCATCTTTTAGGCGGCTTCAGGGAGGGGGCTGGGCAGTGGGCTGCTGCCCGGAGCTCTGGAATTGTCTGCATAAGGTGCTCAGGGAATCTGAGAGGGTGGGCTCCTCATCTGCGCTTTGCTCCCATGAGATGACACTTTTCTGGGGAGACGAAGCTTGCTGGGTGCTTTGCTAACTCCCTCTGAGGGACCTGAGCTTGTTTCTGGAATCTTAGGCCCCTCTGGCAAGAGGATCTCGGCATTCCTTGGGCCCACTGCCCAGGGGGTGGCTGGACTGTGAACTGTGCCTACGGGGCTGAGCGGTGGGATCCTTTGAGTTCCCTCTGGCCCACCTCCACTGCCTTCCCTGCACCTGGGCCCCAGGCCCTCAGCAGGGTCTCCACCAGATCCCTCAGCCTGGGAAGAAACTGCAGCACTTTCTCAGGTGGATTCTGGAAGCTGCCGAGAAGGCCTGGTGATGTGCTGGCCCTGATGGTTGCAGCAGTGCTGGGTTTAGGGCGGTGCCTCATGGATTCAGTTCCTCCCTGGTAGATAGGCTTTTTGCTGTTATTTTTGTTGCCATCAGAGTGGAACAGGAAGTACCTGGGGCATTCTCCATCTGGGCTGCCCAGTGTCTGGCATCATTGCCCTCTGAGCCTTTGCTCAGTCAGTGGGTGTCGAGTGCCTGCCCCATGCTGTGGGCCATGGGCATCCAGGATTCAGGGGACGGGTGAGGGATGTATTTCCTCTATTTTCCAGGCAGACGTGACCATGTGGGGGCTTTGGAATGAGAGACCACAGGGGAGGGCGGGAGGGCCTGGTGGCTGGCAGCATGAGGCTGACAGGAGGTGGGGCAAGGCCATGGGGGGGCGGGCCCGATGGCTTAGAGGTCCTGGTTCTCCTGGAGTCTGACGGGGTGGCGTCCATTCACAGTGGCCAGAGTCCTGTCTTCATAAAGGGAACGTTCATGAGCCAGGCAGGGCATGGACTTGGGGGCTGGAGATGGGCCGTGGGCTTCAAGGCAGCCAGGCAAGTCACCTGCAGGGAGTGCCTAGGGCGCACATCACATGCTGGCCACACCCTGGCCTCCGAGTGGGCGGAGGTGGCCCCATCAGGATGGGCATGGGGTCTACTGGCTGGGGCAGCCCCACTGTTGCTTGGAGGTGGTGTCATGTGGGCAAAGGCACATGGCAGCACGTGGAATGACCGGAAGCTGAGAAAGGCTGTGGACACGCATGTAGTGGAGTGGGTCTAGCAGGCCCCAGAGACTTGAGTGATGCCAGAGGATCCATGTGCTGAGGAGTGGTGTCTGAGGAGTCCTGGGGGCTGCCTGGACCTTGAGGCATCTGGGTGGTCCAGGGAAGGGGCCTGGAAACAACACCAGCACCCACCAGTCCCTCCAGGGGGTCTTTGAGCTGAGACAGGGCTGGGCAGGCACTGATGGCTCTCACAGGAGAAGGCTGCTGGTTCTCAGGCGGGCACCCCTACTCTTGGGAATAGTTTTGGTCCTGTTAAGATCAAAGGCTGTTCTCAGCTCCTGCTCCAGGGGCACCACTTGAAGGATGGGCCTCACCTCTGCCTGGTGGGCCACTCTTGCACCTGGTGTGAGCAGGGCCGGAGAGCAGGCATGTTTAGTGGGTGGGGCTGAGAGTCTGGCTGACTGTGTCTGCTCAGGGAAGTTTCTTATTTATAAAGTGGCCAGCTGGCCCATGCCAGGGAACCCACCAGACCAGGCAGACATGAGACCCCAGCTTTCTCAGGGCGGTGATGTGTGAGCATGTAAAAAGACTGAGAAACCAGGAAAGCACATTTGAGAACTCTAAGTGTCTGCAAAACATCCTGGCTCAGTAAGACCCCACGACCCCAGAAGGAGAGACTCCTGCAGAGGGCAGGAAGCAGCTCCTCGTCCCTCACGGCAGGCTTAGCTCAGGGTCCGCTCTCTAGGCAGCGACTCATCCTGTGGACGCTGAGCATCCTGAGCTTTCGGGTCGACCAGCGTGGCTGTGGCACTCTGAGTGGGAACCGCAGGAAATGCCGGCTGAGCCTCAGTTACAGACGAGATGGAGAAACGTGTCCCGGCCTGACTCTGGGGGCTTAGGGACCACTGGACCCTGCAGAGGCTGATGGGCCCCCACCCCTGCTCCTTGTGCTTCCTCCCAGGCCCGCCAGCATCAGCACCCCAGGGTCTCGCTACCATCCAAGACTCGCCTGTGGGACCAGGGGTAAGTTCAGGCCCGATGGGGTCTCTTTCAGCGGGGTAGATTTCTTGAATGTTCTGTGGGGCCTACTGACTGTGGCGGGGTGCCACCACTCCTCCCAGCCTGGACATTTGTGGCTTCCCGCTGTTGCGGCTTCCCGCTGTTGTTAACGGTGTCCGCAGGTTACATGTCTCAGCGCCTCCCTGGCAGTCATCTAATGGTGGCGACTCTTTCAGGACTGAATAACCTTTTTTTTTTCGGAGAGATACTGAGGTGGTCTTTACCCTCTTCACTCTCAGACAGATTCTGCCAGGAGAGGCACCTGGCTGCCACTAGTGTCCAGCGGAGCTGCCAGATACCCCGGGCCCTATGGGCTGAGCAGCCAGTGGTGGGACAAGGCCACTGCTGAAAGACGCAACCTGTTGACAGTTGCCTGTCAGGTTGCAGATGTCTCCATGGTGCTAGGGTTTCCTGTGTGGGAAGAAAGGCTTCTCCAGCCTTGCTGTCCCTCTGGAGTCCTGAGTGGCCTGAAGCACTTGCCTGTGGCTCTAGCCTGCCTCGGCTGTGTGATGTGGAGCGAGGTCAGAGGTGGCTTGTTCTGCCTGAGGACTGTGTCTACTGGTGTCACCCTGGAAATGGGCTTTCTAGAAAAGCTGAATGATTCTGTGTCCAAGGCAGTTTCCAGGAAGTGGCCTTCTTGTATAACATGCAGCGTGGTAACTAGACCACATGTGAAGATCACATTTGCCCAAAGATGCATGTCCACGGCAGCCTCCCAGCCTGCCTGAGGTTGTTTCTGCCTTACGCTGAGTGTGGGGGCTGAGGGGAGCCGTACAGACCCCCGTGGTCTTCTCTGCTCCCCAAAGGTGCTGCCGGGGTCCCCGTTGCTTCGCGTACCCCCTCATCTGTTCCTCAGCCCCTCCTCATACATTGAATCCTTCTCTCCAGCACCTCATGTGGACCAGCTGCTAATGCTGACAGCAAATGTCCCAAGAGACTGTGGGTGCTGGAAATAGAGCCCCCGGTGTGGGCCAGCGTGCGTGGGGCTCTGGGAATTGACTGGGCGCCTTGGCCCATCTCACCTGTGCTCTCTTTCCTTCCAGCTGTCGCTTTCCCAGCTGGTGGCTTCCACGCCATCTCCGGCTCAGCGCCGCTCAGCCACGCACACTGTGCAGCAGCAACCAGACAACTCTCAGCCCTCTGTGGCCTTGGCAGTAAGTACACTGCCCATTGCCCACCACACCTTCCACCAGAGTGGCTCCGCAACTCCTGGCTTCTGTGGAAGTCTGTGAGTTTTTGAGCTATGCTGGTCCTCAGGTGGCAGAGACCGTGGTGGGTTCTCTGTGATGGGGGCTGTGGGATGGGGTGGGGGTGGCACCACTTACTTTCGTACCGAAGATAGTTGCCACAGTTCTTTCTTGGAGGCCATGGAAGAATGTGGCCTGGAAGTTCTGACCACAGTGCTTTAGGGTTAAGTCTGCCCAAGAAGACAGGGTTAAACTGCCCTTATAACTCTGCAAGTGAAAGGGCCAGGAGGTGCAGCTGGAGCTGGAGGCAGAGGCTGGGGCAAGCCTCTACTCCCAGAGTCCTCCCTGTGTCCACAGCTATCGGGGGATTTGTGGAGTCCACATCTGGACACAGGTAGAGCTCATGGCTGAAACAGGCTGGTGTCCCCATGCCGGGGAGCTCACAGAGCTTGGCCCTCAGAAGCTGACTGGTTCACCCGCAGGCTACACCTCTGTCTTAACTGGACGCGTGTGAGGAAAAACAGCTCCTTCTAATTACTTGTTGGAATGTACTCCTTAGACCTGGAGTCTATGATGCCTTATTCTAAAACATGTCTGGAGCCCATGTGCTTGAGAAGAGCTGGCCTGTCGTTTTATTCTTGGCACTGAGGCATGGTGTAGGTGACCCCTGGCTATGTGATATCCCTGGAACTGAAACAGAAAGCTTGAGATTCAAGTTTGAGAGAGAGCAGTCCCAACCCCAACATGGCCCACATGTGGACACATGACTGCTGCCTTGGAGGGAGGTAGCAGGTGGATGACAAGTGGCGGCTGGAAAGGTTGGGGTGTGGGCACAAGGAAGACACACCACCCAAGGCTTGTGCCACACCGCCTCTCTGAGGAACTTCGTCTTTCTGTTCTGTAAACACGTTTTTAGTTGCTATTTTTTGTAGAGGCAAGGTCTCACTATGTTGCCTAGGCTAGTCTTAAAATCCTGGGCTCAAGCAGTTCTCCTGCCTTGGCCTGCCAAAGTGCTGGGATCACAGACGCGAGCCACAATGCCTGGCCTGTAAATATGTTTTGATATGAATTCAGTGTCTCAGATGTCAGATCTCACCCACAGTACTGACCTGCTCATAATGTTGGTGACTCCTCCTCATTGATTCTGGACTCAAATTGGGTTGCCTCGTGAAATAAAGGGCACCCAGTTAAATTTGAACTTCAGATAAGCAACAAATATAATATTTTTTTCATATAAGTATGTCCCAAACATTGCATGGGATATACTTATACTAAAATTATTTATTGTTTACCTGGAATGAAAATGTGACTGAACTGCCTGTATGTTTATTTGCTAAAGTTGACAACCCCGCAATAGCACTTCATCGATAGTCCCCTTAGATCTGAGCATCCTTGGTGTTGCAGGGTGGGATGCTTATTGGCCTCACCTGGAGGCCCTTGTTTTGTTCAGCAGGAGATTCCGTTGGAGGGCAGGGTGTCTCACCTGGAGGCAGACCTGAGCCAGACTTCCTCAGTCTTAGAAACGGCCATTGCGGAGCGGCTGCGGGAGCTGCCATTCACACCTCTGCATGCCCCCATTGTCTTGGGAGCCCAGACCCGGAGGTGAGCTGTGGGCCTGGCAGGGGTTGGGCCAGGCACGTAGGCACGTGCTGGCGATCAGCTGTTGGCCCTGTTGCACGGCAGGCTTTCCCCAGGGAGGCATGCTGGCAGTCCCTGCCATCTCTGCTGCCCTTGCTTGGGAACTGGCTGAGGGTCTTTCTGCTATAGTTCGGCAGGTCAGCTCTCAAGGGCCTCCATGGTGCTCCTGCAGTCCATTGGCTTCCCCGAAGTCCTGGACGCCAACAAGCAACCAGTCCAAGCTGTGAATCCTACAGATCCTGTGAAGTTCAACCCTCAGAAGGAAGAATCGGATTGTCTACAGAGCAATGAGATAGTGCTGCAGTTTCTTGCCTTTAGCAGGTACCTTCTTAAGTATGCTGCCTGTTTCTATCTGGCTTTCCCATTTCCTGTGCTGAAGAGAAACTTTGATGAGGTTCTAGCCTGGCAGAACTCTGTTCAGGTCTTAGTAGATTAAGGAATGCCATCTGTTTTTATTTTATTTTGGCTAGGATCCACCCAAAGCCATTCTAAACGCTGTGAAAACTGCTTTGTCCGTTCTTCTGTGGTCCTTAATTAAAATGTGGTTAGCGTGTTGCCCAGTTCTCAGATACTGGCATAACTGAGAGCAGTGTTCTCCAGCCCAGAGTGTCCTTGTACCTGAAGGGGACTGATGTCCGGCCAGCTCACTAAGAGCACAGCAAGGCTGTTCATGTTGGTGACTGCAGCAGCCTCCCTCCCGCTGCCCCAGCCACTGTGGTGCCCAGACCATCTCCCTGTGCAAGTGCTTGTCTAAACCCTAGGTCTGTGCTGTGACTCCTTGATTAATCCAAAGCTGTTGTTGGATTCAGAGTGTCCCCAGACTGCCGAGGACCGTCATGGCCAAAGACTGTGTATTTCACCTTCCAGTTCTACCGTTTCCCACCTGCAACAACACCACGGCTGCAGCTGCTTGAGCTGGAGGAGACTCAGAAGGGCAGGTCTGGTTCCCTGTCCCACATCCTGGTTCCCACGAATAAAGATGGCTCCCTTGATGCTGGTGAGTGCTCTGCATGTGGTGAAGGCAAGACAGCCTGCGCTGAGCTTTTTGTGTAAATTGTAAATTTTATTATTTAAATAATTATACTGTGGAAAATTTGAAAGAATAGTGTAACGAATCAGTGCACCAAGCACTCAACTCCAGCAGTTACCAACTAGATCTCAACCCAGTGTCCTCTCCCAAGCCAGGGTTATTTTAGAGCAAATCCCAGACATTAATTTCTTTTATGAATATCTGAAAAACTGAGGATTCTTTCTTGAAAAACATAAGCTCTGTAATATTTTTCCACCTAAAAATTAATAATTCCTAATATCATCAAATACCTAGCCAGTGTTGACATTTCTGCAGTAACCTTGTAACATTTCTTTAATAGTTTGTTCAAAAATAAGGTCCATGCATAGTCATGGAATAGTGTGAAGCTTGAGTTTCTGTGGAGTTGCTGCCACCACACCTTGTCTCTGTTTTGTCTTTTAAATGCATTTGTTGAAGAAGTCACATTGTCCCTGGAGTGTCTGTCTCGTGATCTGGATTTTGTTTTGTACCTGGTGGTAATGTTTAACATGTTCCTCTCTCCTGTCTTGTCTTGTAAACTAGAAGTTAGGTGTAGCTGTGTGATCAGATGTGTTTTGATTTCGGCAAGGATTCTTTGTAGCAGGTGATGTACACACCATCGCTGCCACATGGTGATGTCTGGTGGCTTCTTTTGTCAGCAGCACTGACTGCTGCCGACGGATCCATGGCTTCATTGGAGGTGGCATAGTGGTGGTATCCCTCTGCTAGAGCGCCGCTGTCAGCAGGAATGCTCTGAGACCAGAAACTGCCCTCAGCAACTGTTTACCTTGAGGCACAGTTCACATGGGGAAGGCAGGACAGCGCTTGACTCTTCTCCTTTCTTAACTGAGTTTCCAAATGATGACATGGCTCCCTGGCACCTGTCAAGGGTGGGAACCAGTGACTTTTTTTCTTTTGGTATCATTGGAAACGGATGGATTTAGACAGCAGTGGATGGAAGCATACCTGACATGTTGGTGTTTTTGTCGGTGGTCAGTTTTTCCATCTTGGTCAGTGACATGGCTGGTCAGGGACTGAGCAGGTGTCTGAACCACTGCGGCCTCTTGAGGTAGACAGTGACAGGTGGGAAAATGTATGTTAAAATGCTGACCCCAGATGGAAGTAGCTTAACGTTAGCATTTAGCAACAGAGACAAAGGCAGATACAGTGCCAGGATAAGGGAGGCTATTGCATAATTACCAGGAAAACAATTTCCTGGGAAAGTAAGCAACTCTGAATCTATGAACAACCAACATTCATAGCCTCCAAATATAAAGGAAAATGTGATGGACTTATAAGGAGACATTGACAGAAACCCATACTCCTAGGAGATTTTGACACACCTCTCAGTAAATGGATAGATCACGCAGAAACAAAGTAATGAGGATGTTGTAAAATATAGTTTTAAAAGGTGTTCTTAGAAAACCTATACACCCAATTTAGAGAATATTATTTTCAGGCATACTTTGAAACTTCATTCATGTGTATATTGTTTAAGCCTCTAAGCAGGTGTCACCCTATACTAAGAGAATCAGTATCAAATCTGATTTTATGGCATTCTCTACCCCTAATGCCACAAGGTCAGAAGTCATTACTCCATCTCCAGCAAACACACTGAAATACTGTTTCTTTGGAACTTTAAAACAAATTTCTAATTATTCCATGGGTCAATGAAGAAATCAGAATAGAAATGACTAATTATTTAAAACTGAATGACAAAATAATACTGCATATCAAAACTTAGGAGATGTAAGTAAAATTGTAATTAAAGGAGAATTTACAGTTTAAATGCCTTTGTTGGGGAAGAAGGAAACATCCATTAAGACAAGGCTCCTCAATACCCAGGCCATGGACTGCACAGCAGGAGGTGAGTGGCAGTCAGCAGAGCCCTACCTCCTATCAGATCAGCGGTGGCATTAAATTCTTGTAGAATCCTATTGTGAAATGCAGTGTGCATATGCATGGGATCTAGGTTGCCACTCCCCCTTTGAGAATCTAATGTCTGATGATGCTCCCTTCTCCCGTCTGTGGAAAAATTGTCTTCCACAAAACCAGTTCCTGATGCTAAAAAGGTTGGGGTCTGCTGCCTTAAGATACTGTCTTAATTGTTTAGCTCAAGGAGTTTGGGTATTAAAAACAAACAAAAAACAGAATAAACCCAATAAAGTAGAAGAAAAGAAATTTAAAATGAGTGTAAATGCTTAGAAGGCAAAGAAACAAAGGGCAGCTCAGCCAGATGGCTGGTGTGGGTCACCAGGTACAACAGGTGCTGCTCCTTGTTTCTTGGCCAAAGTCACAATTGGCCCCGAGAGGAAGCTGGGGGACTTGCAGTATATTTACTTATGATGAGCATTGTGGGAATGTGATTGATGCCTGCCCCTGATGTGGATGAACTCTGATGCCAGCAGAGATCAGCTGGACAGAGCAGGCCTTGCCCCCTGGGCCAACCTTGCCTCCCTGCATGCCTGAAAGCACTTCTAGGACTCTGGCATCCTCTCCTCCTGTGGGCAGATCTGCAAAGAAGAAAGTGGGGAGGAGTGAGCAGCCCAGGCCCTACCCTCTTCCCAACCTCAGTCAGATGAGCTGAGCTGCTGTTGCCCTGAGAGGAGCATGGACTGGGCAGATGGAGGGCACAGGAGGCCCCTCCGCATGGAGGCGTGGCGCCAGGGGAGGGTGTACCCTGCATCATTTCTCCAGTTGGGTTTTATCAGCTCACTGGCCTTGACGGGGGCATGGCCTTTGTCCTTGGAGGAGGTGGGTCATCACCAGGGCAGTTCCAGCCTTCCTGGGATCACTTCTCCTAAGCCAACCGTCTTCCCTTTGTCAGTCCTCCCGTGACTCTTGGTGAACAATTCAGTGTATGTCCCCAGGAGGCTGGGAAGTGGATCCGAATAGTGCGTTTATATACGGCTTCTCTGCACTCACTGCTGAAAACTCAGTCCCTCTTCTGTTTCCCATCCCTGGTTCTGTTCAATCATTTTATCCAGCATAGTTCATCAGAGGTTCTGCAGTAAGGTTAAATGGCAGCATTGAGATCATTCAATAAAAGGCCAACCACTTAGATAGGCTTCTGACTTGAATATAAGCCCCTTTCCATGATGCATTTTCCAGAGAGAAATTAAAGTCCCCAAATTAAATTTCCTTGCAAGTTGAAGTCCAAAGAAATTAAACTCCAAAATCAAATTTTCTTGTCATTATGAGTTAAAATTCAAAGTCCAAAATTCTTAAGTTAAAGTCAAGAAAAAGACACCAATTCATTTCAGTTTCTTACGCAATTGAGTCTCTGCCTGGATCTAGGTTTCCTTCAGCAGCCTCAGCTTGGGAGGGGTCCTCCCCGGGTGGGCAGAGTTCCTTGGGCCTGGGAGGTTATAACAGTTCAGCATTGAGTCTCTCGGGAGCCTCACTTAAAAGATAGTTTTTATTGGTGTTGAAATCTAACCTGTCAAGTGCTCAGATTGCAAGTGTGCAATTAATGATTTTTAAAAAATTAACAGATTTTATTTATTTATTTATTTTGTTTGTTTGTTTTTGAGTAGGAGTCTCACTCTGTCACCGAGGATGGAGTGCAGTGGCACGCCCATGACCACCGCAGCCTCTACCTTCTGGGCTCAGGTGATCCTTCCGCCTCAGCTTTCTAAGTAGCTGGAAGCACAGGCATGTGCCACCACACCTGACTATGTTTTTGATTTATTGTAGAAATGAAGTCTCTCCATGTTGCTTAGACTGATCTCGAACCCCTGAGCTCAGGCAATCCTCTCGCCTTCGCCTCCCAAAGTGCTGGGATTACAGGCTTGAGCCACCACATCCAGCCAGATTTTATTGTTTTTAGAGCAATTTTAGACTTACAGAAAAATGGAAAAATGGAATGGATAGTACAGAGTTCCCACAAGTCGTCACCCTCATAGCCTCCCCTGTTATTATTAGCATTTTGCATTGATGTGGCACATTTGTTACACTTGATGAACTAATATCGATACATCATTATCGATACATAATTAGTTTACATTAAGGTTCTCTCTGCATTATACAGTTTGTGGCTTTTGACAAATGCATGTGTCATGTATCCAGTGTGATGGTATCATACAGAATAATCCTACCACCAAAATGCCCCCTGTGTACCACCTCCTCATCCCTCCCCTTCTCCTTGGCGCCACAGATTTTCTTGCTGTCTCGAGAGTTTTGCCTTTTCTAGAATGTCGTGCAGTTGGAACCATACGGTATGGAGCCTTTTCTGACTAGGTTCTTCCACTTGGCAATGTGCATTCGAGGTTCCTCCATAGGTTTTTGTGACTTGATAGCACATCATTTCTCTTTATTGCGAATAATACTCTGTTGTATGGATGTGCTACAGTTTATGTCTTCACTTATTCAAGGGCGTCTTGTTTTTTTTTTTTCCTTCCAGTTTTGGCAATTTTGAATAAAGCTGTTATGAACATTTGTGTGCAGTATTTTGTGTGGACATACATTTTTAACTCATCTGGGCAAATACCAAGGAGTATGATTGCAGGCTCGTTTGATAAGAGAGTGTTTATTTTTGTAGGGAACCACCAAACAGTCTTTCAAAGTGGCTGCACCGTTTTGCATTCCCACCAACGATGAATGAGTCCCTATGCCTCACATCCTTGCCAGCATTTGGTGTTCTGGATTTCAGCCATTCTGGCAAGCGTTTGGTAGCATCTCATTGTTCTGTTTACTTGCAGTTCTCTGATGGCATGTGCCACCAAGCATCTTCACATGTGCTTCTGTGCCATCTATGTATCTTCATGCGATGTCTCTTTTTTTTTTTTTGAGTTGGAGTATCACTCTATCACCCAGGCTGGAGTGCAGTGGCCGCTCCTGGCCACTGCAGCCTCGACGTGCTGGGGCTCTGGGGATCCTTCCGCCTCAGCCTTCCAAGTAGCCAGAATTACAGGCACACGCTACCATGCCCGGCTAATTTTTTTCTGATT